TTGGTGTGTTGAGTAAAAATGTCACTAGCATTATAATACTAAAAGGAGTAATATGATACTACTTTCACGAAATTTATCTTATACATGTCATTCCATGCTTATTCATTCATCCAAGTTGTAAAATGATACATTTAAAAAGAGCTTGTAATTGAACATTGGCTAATTATACAGTACATTACCAATCATGGTTGTTTTACTATCTCGGATTATGAGATTTGTGGTATTTGAGTTGCATCTTCATACGAATAGAAAGAGTTGTCCAATATATCATTTGTTCCATAAATACTGACTGTGTGTATTTTTGAATGAAATATATTATGAATATATCAAAAGTATTTAATAATTTCATATTTATCACTTTTCTTGTTGCCCTCCGTTCACCTGATGTTATTGTGCTCCTTTTGGAGTCCAACAACTGTCTTTCTAATGTTAATAACCAACAGGAATCAATGCAACTTTTCATCATTTATTGGAACAAATATATGTGTGATAGTACTCACATTCAACTTTAGAGTACGTCTTTAAAAAGAATACGAAATGAACAACATGAAAATATTTAGATATCTTTGTCAAGCCTTCATTCTTCCCATAAAACGATCCATCTAATACGCCATCAACGTTTTTGGGCTTGTGGTCCAACTTAGTACATATTGATGCCAACAAACATAATAATATCAAGTGATTTTATTTGTTTAGATTTTTTAACTTCTATTGAACTTTTTTTATGTAGTACCACAGACATGGTTGGCTAGAACCAACAAGATGCATTTTTACATACTAACTGTTGTTGAAATGTCAGCATGCACACAACTAATGTAAGTACTTGCACATTTTTAATGACACTAGTAAGTTGGAAATGCTTAAAATAACCATGTTAGTAACAATAAAAATGGCAAAACAAATCAAAATAAAACAATTCATCTATTACCTCCCTGTCAACCATTTCCATTGGAACAAGATATTTCGATATTTTCGTGGTTCCCATTTGTGAATTCAATTTCACTCCGTATTTCTTTCCTATTGTCATAATTTAAAATAAAAATATGTAAACAAGATAAATGATATTTTCTGCAATACCATACTCTGAGAAGGTCTGAACACAATGAAGATACATTGTAAAATGTGAAAACCCAATGAATATTTTGTTCAATTTAGTTTTATACTTGTAAGGAAATAATATTAGCAAAGTATACATACATCTGGTATAATAATCTCTGATGATCTTTCATTATACAATGGCGTGTTCATTGGATTGTAGTTAAGATAACACGCTGACGAATCTCTGATGATCTTTCATCATCTTGTGATTTTATTTTGTTTTCAATAGTGGATGGTGGAGATGTGAGCTTTTCTTTAAGAGGAGGGTTAAAATTTTTCAATATGCTCTACGTATTTATTGGGCTTGTTAGAGGAAAATTTCTATGCATGGAAAATGCATTGTCCATTAAAGGTGGTCCAAAACAGTCTATTATGAAGACGTATTATTGTGAAGAATGCCACTAACGAGTACTCTCCACAAGAGGCTCATTTTGGATCTCTTTTAATGGTCGGTCACTGCATTCTCTACACTACAAATTCTCATCTAACAAACTCAATAAATACACAGAGCATATTGAAATTTTTTAACTCACCTCTTGAAGAAAAGTTCACATCCCCACCATCCACTACTGAAAACAAAATAAAATCACAAAAAGAAAAAACAATCTTACTTTGGCATAAAGTTGTTTAATCATAAGATTAAGGGAAACTCATTGGCGTGTTATCTAAACTTCAATCCAATGAACACACACCATTGTATAATGAAAGATCATCAGAGATTACTATACCAGATGTATGTATACTTTGCTAATATTATTTTCTTACGAGTATAAAACTAAATTGAGTAAAATGTTAACCAAGTTTTCGCATTTTACAATGTTATCTCCATAGTGTTCAAACCTTATCAAAGTATGGTATTGTAAAAAACATCATTCATCTCATTTACATATTTTTATTTAAAATTATGATGACAATAGGAAAGAAATACAAAGTGTAATGGGAACCACGAAATATCGGAATACCTTATTCCAATGGAAATGGTTGACGGGGATGTGATAGCTAAAGTGTTTTATCTTGATATGCTTTACAATTTTTATTGTTACTAAGGAGTTAGTTTACAACATTATCAGTTTACTAGTATATACTCCCTCCGTCCCGTTGGAATGTTCCCATTTACTATTCATTGGTCAACTTAGGTCACTCCTAATCTTTTACTTTATATATCAAATTTTTATCAAATTGAACTTTTCTTGATCAGGCTTTGTAGCGGTTTTAATGTAGTTTCTGAATATGTAAATTTTATTTACTAAAAATAAGCGGAGTGTGAACAGGGATCGAGTTGCTTTATCGTCAGTCAAGCATCGTAAACCGAACGGGAACATTCCAACGGGACAGAGGTAGTATATCATTAAAAATGGGTAGGTATCTATATTGGTTGCGTGCATGCTAACATTTCAACAACAGTTAGTATGCAGATTGATGGTTCTTGCAAACCGTGTTTGCGGTATTATTTATGAAAATTTCAATGTAAGTTAAATCATCTAAACAAGTAAAATCACTTGATATTATTATGTTTGTTGGCAGCAATATGTACTGAGTTGGACCACAAGTCCAAAAACGTTGATGGAGTATTACATGGATCGTTTATGTGAAGAATAGAAGGCTTGACAAATGTTTCTAAATATTTTCGTGTTGTTCATTTTGAATTTCTTTTTAAAGAAATACTCTAAAGTTGAACGTGAGTAATATTATACAAATATTTGTTCCAATAAATGATGGAAAGCTGCATTGGTTCCTATTAGTTATTGACATTTGAAAAAAAACGATAATATTGTTCGATTTCGAAAGTAGCACAACAACAACATATGAAAGAAGGACAACAAGACAGGCGGTAAATTGGACATAATTAAATACTTTTGAGTCAATTATTATTTGTTATAAAATTATATTCACAATATAGCTCACTAAAAAAGATACACAGATAACTTGTATGGGATCATTGATGTTGGACAACTCTTTCTACTCTAATTAAGATGTAACTCAAAGACCACAAATCTCATAATTCGAGATAGTAGAACAAAAAAATATCGGACAATTGGCAACACGCTCGTAAAAAACGACCTTATAATAAAATTACAACAATCATATGTAATGCAATCATTTGTAATGTATTGACTAATGTTCAATTATACGCTCTTTATAAATGTATCATCTTACTATTCTAGTAATGACAGTGGAGCTTGGGTTGCGATTTGGATGAAGGAATGCATATCGGATGACATGTATAAATATCATATTATTCCATTTAGTATTATAATGCTAGTGACATTTTTACTCAACATATTAATGTAGGTTACTGATGAGTCAATGATGCTATTGGCAAAGGATTTGTTGAATAATCCTTAGAGCAATACTAAGAATTAAATAATTGGACATGCATTTCACAATTGGAGGAAGTTTGAAATTGAAAACAAGAAACTTGTCAAAATTGTCATAATTTGCTGAAGAACATGTGTATTGATTTTTTTAATGACGCTTGAGTATTTCAATTAGCCGATAGTTTTAAATTTTAATGGGCACAATAATGGTTTGCGGTGCGTGTTTTTTTTTTTTATAAATAAAGTTGGTTTTTGACACACTTTGATTTGAAGTACAAAATGTGCTAGATTTTAAATTGAATTTGCTTATGTAAGAGATTCTAAAAAACAGACTATCACAATTTTGAGCTAACATTCTTACGTCAAAAAATGAACTACCAACACAAAGAAAGTTAGTAGTCTCGTACATACCACTTTACCAGATAGACACAACATGTAACATCCTTTTGTAGGCATGGTCCAAATATGGTCAACACAATTGACAAGAGACTTTTTTTTGCCTGTCTAGGAGGTTGAAGAACACTCTAGTGTACTATAGAAGTTTGTTTATACTTAACCCTCTAAAATATACTCCCTCCGTTCCTAAAAATTCTTCCCGGTTTGAATTGGCACGCTTATTAAGAAAGTGGAATAAAGTGGAAATGTGTGGTTGTGGTTGTGTGAGAAAAAGGTAAAATGAATGTGAGCCACACAAATTGTCCAAAAAGGGAAAGTGGGAAGAATTTTTGGGAACGGCCCAAAAAGGAAAGTGGGAAGTATTTTTGGGAACGGAGGGAGTACTTACTTATATTTTGTGGATGGTTTTCGAGGGGAGACTTTGGATGACATTTTATATACTTACTTAGTCCTCTAAAATTTTATTCCTTCTATTTTGTAAAACCTCAAATATGTATATTAAGATATACACTTAACCCTCCAAATTCCTAAAAATTTACTCCAAAATAAAACCTAAGGAATTTGTAATGTATTATTGTTAGTGACAGTTCTAGCTTGACGTTCATTATGTTGCATTTGTTACATCGCAACGAACATTATGAAAAAAGAAGAGCACTTTTCTCATGCTACCTTTTGCTAGAAAGAGCTTCTTGATCAACCCTCGGGGTTGTATCACCAGTGTTCTCGTTGAGAGTTCTCACAGGATTAGAAAATCACCAACCCCATCGAAAAAACCATGATAGAGAAAGCTAACCAAAAAGTGGAAGCTCGTGAGGTCAGGTGTTAAAAAAAACCATGTGAGTAATATCATCAGGCTAGAATTCAACTAACATTTCATTAGCGTAGCTCACAAGTGATCCCAATCCTCTCACTGAATTGAATAGTCCACAATTTCTTAAATTTAAAGCTAAGCAAGTTAAACATTAAAATAGATGCCCATATAATGTTCTTCATATAACATCAAAATATAGTTTAGGTTAAGCGAAGATTGTTATTAGCATCAATGATGAATTAATCAATGATGAATTAAAAAGAAAACCAACATAAACTACAGCAATAATAAACAAAAAAAAAATTTTTGCAAAATGTAAAGCTAAATATATTACTTCATATATTGTATGGACTAAAAAGACCTTCAATTTTTTGTTTATACGGAGCAATTGTACGTATGGACTTTTGAAAAATATATTAGCAGACTTTTTGACCATATGACATGTACATTAGTTCCACATGACCACATGTCAAATTATGTGATGACTCATCACTACATCAAACAACATGTGGCATAATGATCTGACACGCATGAAGCAGCAACTAACGTTATACAATCAAATACTTTCATCCTCCACCAACCTATTATCATTCTGAAGAAATTAAGGAAAAGAGCTGAGAATAATGAGTAGTTTCAAGTGTTTCCACGAGACATGGTTGCAGCAGTTGAAGGAAATGATACACCAGCTCATGCAAGCTCCCGGTGCGACGACCACCGTTGACCACCACAACTTGCACCAACGGCTTGTCTACAAGGTCATGTCTCACTGCCACAACTACTCCAGGGCCAAGTCGGCCGCCGCGAAGCGTGACGTCCTCCACGTATTCACCGCCCCGTGGGCATCCTCCCTCGAGCGCTCGCTTCACTGGATCGGCGGCTGGCGCCCCACCACCCTCTTCCACCTTCTCTACACCGAGTCCAGCATCCTCTTCGAGTCTCACATTGTCGACATCCTCCGTGGCATCCGTAACGGAGACCTCAGCGACCTCACCCCTTCCCAGCTCCGCCGCGTCAGCGAACTCCAGTGTGAAACCGTCCAACAGGAAAATATCATCACCGACTAACTCTCCGATTGGCAGGTATGCATATGCATGCCTTGGTGGAGTTAGAGAAATGTATGTTGTTAAAAGCTTAAAATTTCTAACATATGTGGGCAGTGTTTGCAAACGTTTAAGAAAAGCATTTCCCGACTTTTGTTTGAAAGTACCTAAAAAGACTGTTTTCAAGTGTAACTTTTGCTTAAATTAAACACTAAAAAGTTAAAAGTTAGAATCAGTTTCTTACCTTTTCTATTACACAAAAGCATATATTTTACCAAACACTATCAATTTTTACTTTCAAAATCAATTTTTTGCTTTAACCCTACCAACTTTTACTATTAAGTACTTTTCTTTAAATCATTTTTTAAAGCGCAAGTTATTGCAAAAACTCTCGTAGTAAGTTTTACTCAATATACGGAGTAATAAACATAGAAATTAAATTAGTCAAACTAAGATACAAAACGTAGGCAAAAATTCTAAAATAGAATCAAGTACCACATATGGGTTTTTTCCTGAAATAAGAGTTATTTATTCTATTAGAAGAGTACTCTTTCTTTCACTAGTACGTAGTATAACTTTGTCATCTTGTTTTTGGATTCTTTTTTGGATCTCTAAAGAAATTTGCAACTTCCCCTTTTAATAAGTGAAATTGCTGTTTATATTATTTCTCTCTCTACACGAATCTCAATCATTCAATTTTTACTCATCAATCATTCTTTTTCTTTATCAATCAAACTTTTGCAAAGTTTTGAAGCATGGACATAGTATAAAATAGTGTAATTCCTACATGAAAATATGTTACATGTTAAGTACATATTTTTGTATTTGTACGGCCAGAATCTATATTAAAATTTCATGTTAATGTTTTGATATTTGAAATTGGTGGCAGAACGGTGGGAGCGATATAATGGGGATGATGGGCGAGGGGAAGATAGATGCGAAAATGGAGAAGCTGGGGGAGATATTGGAGATGGCGGATGAGCTAAGGATGAAGGCAATCACCAACTTGGTGGAGCTTTTTACGACGCGGAAAGCGATGGAGTTCTTGATTGCGTCGGCGCAACTCATGTTCGGCATCCGTCGTTGGGGTTCATGACAGGCGACCGGAGAACGCCGAGCCAGCCTTTCAGCCTCATCAGGACCATATATAAGTTTCTAATTTGAATTTAGGGGTTCTTAAGAATCCTTTTAAAAAAGAAATTGAATCTATATCTTGACACAACAATTTAGTAGAGTGAAACACTTCACTACTTATTCTTCCACTTGAATCTAGCTTCTAGAGTATTGATTAGAGTATGTAGAGATTAAGGCTAAATCATTAGTGTAATGTACTAATGTAAAGTCTTTAACCTACTTTCCTATACTATACTACAAGGCTACTATACTACACGGTCAACTGGTCTTTGACCGACTCTCCTACACTATATGAGTCTCGGATTCGAAACTCTATAGAGGGAATTGAACACTAATTCTGAGCATATTACATAATCTCAAACACTAATTGATCCTCAAACATCTCTTCTCATCATTAGGTTTCTTCATCCACCATTTTATCCATCTAAATAATCTGAACACCCTCTAAGAGCATTGTGTTAGGCTTTTGGTGTGAGACTATTTGCCTCAACACTCATAGGACTCTAGCTTATGTATTATTTAAACACCTTGTAGTCCTTCTCATATAACTCTCACATTCTATAGGTATGGAAAGTTCATTGTAGTTTTTATTTACGAGCTGCAATACACGTAGCTATCAAACTCTTAATTGGAAACACATTACACATTCAATATCAAACTCCGAAATAATCCCTAATTTCAAATGATTCCCGCTTTCTTAACCAGATTATACAGGAGTACTACGTAATTACTACCATAAAAAATCAATGCCAATTGCGAATCATGAGCAGAATAATGAATTAGCATAAGATCAATCTCTGTAAACAATGATTGAAGTTTATTGCACGAGACTGTCATCAGTAAAACCAAAACACAACTAATGTGCATAAAAAATGCACATGTATTTTCACTAAAAGTAAACATTTTATGTTGGGGAATTAAACTTTGCACACCACATTTTGAGTGATATATTAGACTTTGCACTTTATTTTGAATTTTTTTTTGATAGGGAATATACATGAAGTATTTATAGACCTTAGGAACTAGTATTCTAGGAGGAAACTAATACAATAAATGTTCATTAATCGAAATAGACTCCTGTAACGTCTTGGACATTATGCAATGATTATCTCCTTTAGGTCTACGTTTCTTCCGTTTGTTCGTGCCTGCTGCTAGATAGCTATGCGCGAACGATATAGCCTGCCACGTAAGCCCTAAGAAAAGTCCGACCTCACTAGAAATCCATCTAGGCTTGAGGTTTGCTGTCCATTGGCTAATTAGGCCCATTGGCTAATTAATATTAATTCCGTTTATGGCATATCCTATTAAGGGCTAATCCCGTTGAGGGCTTGATCCCGTTGATGGGCTTTTAAGTTTTAATGATAATTTCGTAATTGGACCATGGTTGTAATCCATGGTACCATCAGCACCCAACACATAGCATTTTGTGAAGAAAGAGTTCTAAATGCGGTGCAAAGTCAAATGATTTTTAAGTAGAATGAAGTACAAAATTGAAGTTTTTTTTTAAAAAAAAATGGAGTGCAAAGTTCAATTACGCCCAAAAAGTGAGGTGCAAAGTCAAATTTTCTCTAAATATGCTCCCTTCATTTCACTAACAGTGGGACATGAGGGGTGACACACATACCATTAAAGGTGGATTTATGTGGTTGATATTGAATTGATAAAGTAAAAATAAAGTAAAATGACTTGAACCACACAAATTTTACTAAATTTAGTGTAGGATCAGAAAGAAAAATTGGAACAATCTTAATGGGACGAACCGAAAAGAAAAATTGGGACAATTTTAACTGGACGTAGAAAATACTAGGTTTTTTTGACACAGTATAACACTATTTATATTGTTTTGATTACCAAATCAGAAAAGAACAATTTACGTAAAGAAGTCACAATAAAAAACACTATTGATATTATTTTACATGGTAATTAGGTAGTAGTATTAATTTTTTTTTATCATCAAACAAGCCTTTATTCATATCAAAAGATTCAGGATCATTACATCAAGTAAAAGGAAAATAAAACTGACACCAACTGAAACTCCAACAACTACGACTGTAACCCTATGGTGAGACTTTGAGACGGTCACCCCTGAGAGAGTTACACGAATCGCTAACCATGTAGTGGGCTTGACACAGCCAAACCTGTTCCCATAGAACCAACTATACCCAATGACATAAAGAGAGGCAAAAAACTCAAACAAACTGTCAAAGCCAACAACAAAAATAGACACTAGAAAATGAATAACAAACAGATAAAAACTACAAGAAAAGCTTTCGCGAACTCTGGCACCTCGTACATCCCATGGTGGTGGTTCAGGAGGAGGTCGTACCACCGGTACCATGCTAATTGATCCTCCATGACCTTTGGCTGCCAAAGACCGTGCATCAATCCTCCGTCCCTGCAAAACCAGACTCATTCCTGCTCCGTGCGACCGGAGTAAACGGATAGGCTGCACTAATCTTCTCCAACGACGACAGCAACGCTGCATCCTCGAACCTTGACCACAGTGCCGATCTCCTCGAGCCATGACAGCAAATCCGCCTTCCTCCACCAATCTCCGCCCTCCGCGTCTGACCTGGACTCCAACCGAGTACCACCGACCAAGGGATAGCAAAACCGATCTTCGACAAAGTCGAAATCGGAAAAGGCTCCAGCGGCCGACATAGTCGAAACCCTAGAGAGAAAACGTGCTTGACTAGAACTTGAACAACTCGATTGATTGAAAGGAAACGTGCTTGACATAGTCGGTGGTGGGTAAGATTATAGCCTGGACTCTGAAGGTTGAATGCTTTGTATCTCACTATACCAATTTCCGACTTGCAAATAAGGTAGTAGTATTATTATACTCCGTAATTTAATGTAGAAGTACAGTACTCTGTAATAAACTAATAATAAAAAATATGTTATGGGGTATAATATATGTAGGAAAAACTGTTAAATAGGTCCTTGTACTATTACAAAAAAGTCAGTTAAGTACTCGTACTTAATAACCACCCAATCAATCAGGAGCTTAAATGGAATCCATGTCATATTTAATTTTTTTTATTAACTTTATCTTCATTTTTATTCTCTCTGGCAAAGCCAGATCGTCTCTTCCCCAGTTATCTACTGAATCCTCATCCATCCGATATTCTTCAACTTGTTGTTCAAGCATTGAAGCTGAAATTAGAAGCCAAAAGGTCTCTCCAGCGGAAAAACCACCTTGCTTCGCATCTGTTTTTGAAATTGACTGTGGTACTTGAGTTACATGTCCATGGAAGCCATGAGTATCAGGTATGGATCTACTGGTAACAATCCCAATTCGATCTAAGTGATGAATATTTAGTCTGATTCTCCGGCATCCTTTACGTTGTTGAAGCAACAGAAACATAGGAGATGTAGCGGCAAGGGCAATATCTTCCAATCGCCTTCACGTTTCAACTGAAATCCAAGTCGCCATTGGCCGTATTAAGGAGTGGAAGAAGAAGAATTAGCCAACCCCTGAGTTGCCTCCGGTCTTCTTGTCCGTTCACAGGCAATTTCACTTCCAGTTCGCCGGAGACTTTGTCTCTTGGAGGATGGAAGAAGACAAAAGAAAAGGAAAAATGGGTTACCCATACACCACATAAGCATAGTGACCGGTGAACCGTTTGGTTACCTAGTAAATGGAGGATATGAACGTTTTTGTAAAGTTGGAGTACCTAATTGAATGAATATCAACCACAAGGACTTAATTAACTTTTTCGTAATAGTATGAGGACGGAGAATCTATTTAACCGTTTTTCCTATACCCAATAATTAGTATGGACCATGGTGTTTTTTTTGGACAAGTATGGACCATGGTGTTAATTTGTGGAACATTGTAAGAGCTTGTTGTTGTATATTATGCCATTTAAATTTTATTTTAAATTTCAATGGGGCCCTCATTTTGGTATCTAAAATAGGGCCTTTCAAATTCATAAACGGCCTCGCAAATACAAATTTAACTAGGAATAAGGATGACGATAGCAACCTATCAAAATATTATACTGTATTATTTCCAATGTTGGCAAATTTTTTGGTATGTTGTACGGTCCTCACTGTACAACCGAGTATTTTTGCAATTATTCACAACTGAGATGACATTTAATCCTCCGTTTTGCAGCTGCTTTTCCCAGCCCCAACTCCGGCACTTCATCTTCGAACCGTTCCGATGCTTTCTCTCGAGAAATCAACTCAACAATCCAATTCGGATAATTTTTATGGAATTAACACGGTCTTGCGTTGAAAATAGATGAATCAAACAATTGATTAATTTATGTTGTGGAAGAATATGGAGTAGCCGCTTGAAAGGTGGATCCTCTATGGATGACTCTGACAGGCAGAGGGAGTTGCAGATGTCGGCAATTGCAATGAATATAACTTTTCCGGTGTTAACCTCTTTTCTAGACTTCCACTTATTTTTTTTCGTTTTCATTCCTTTTAACTGTGTTAGAACCTTTAATTTGAGAATTTTATAATGAATTAATTGAGATGAAAATTTGATCTAAACAATTCTACCTCTTTGGATTTGATTAATAATACTCAATTGCATGATTCTAATATTCAATTTAGGAGGTTTGATGCTCAATGAAAATGTTTTGATACTCAACTAAGAAAACTTATGATTTTCGTATCATTACTCATTTGTTAATTTATGTATATACATAAATTATGTATATATGCTCATTTGATGCTGGTGTTATACTCATTTTAAAATGTTATATCAATACATATTTCAAAAGTACCATATTACATTATATTAACATATGAGTTGATTATAAATACGAGAGCACAGACCATGATACTCTATTGCATGTTTCTAATATTCAATACATGAGGTATGATGGTCAATGAAAGTGTCTTGATGCTTAACTAAACAACTTATGATTTTCATATCAATGCGCATTTTATAAATTGCGTATGCTCAATTGGTACTCATGTTATGCTAATTTTGAAAATGTCATATCAATTCATATTTCAAAAGTACAAATTTATATTAGATTCACACATTGAAGTTCATAGAAGTTGACTGTAGATATAATTTAATAAGTTTTCATAAAAGAAAAAATGTTAATTAGAAGATATTAAACAAAGATCGTGATGCTCGTTGTCAGGCTTCTAATACTCAAAAGAATGTGTATGATACTCATTACAAGTGTATTAATCCTCATCTAACAAA